TCACCTCAGCCTCCCAAAGGCGCGGGATTACAGGCTGAGCCACCGAGCCTGGCTGGTCTTGTCTCTTAATGGCAACTAGGGATGAGCTTGCACCAGTGTGACCCTGACCTTTTCAAGGTTCTGGGGTGAGAGAGCAAGTAAACAAGCATTGACTTTGTGCCCAGGCTGTAATACAGTGAGAAGAGAAAGGATGTGGAATCAGCCTTACATTGTGTATTGGTTAGCAGTGTCCCAAAAGGAAATCCAGGTGCTTTTAGAAGAAAGACTTACCAAGCAGGTGGGGGTGGTGTGTGTGGGGGTGTTTTCCACATCAGTGCCACTGTGATTCTCCTTCCTTCTAACAACTGGGACCCCCTTAACTTCAGTCAACTGTTGCTGCCTCTAGGGAGGGGAGCACCATCACCATTCTTGACTCCCTTACTTCTACCACAGGGATTTGTTCCCACCCTGATTTTTTACCCACACAGCTGTGGCCAGCTCAGGGTGAGTAGCCGTGGTCCCATTAGTAGGGCAGCTTAAGGGAGAGGTGTGCTTCTGGCATCCAGGTTGAGACTTTAGGGTCATGTTTTTCTTATTGGGATAAGAAATTGAAATACTTTTATAGTAAGTGAAAGCTTGATTTATATAGAATTCCGTTATGAATGGTTTACTTCTGTACAAATATATTTAATGTATCTGGGAATTAGTTTGAATATCTCAAGGCTTATGAGATATCTTTAAGCCCTTGAACTTTTATTTATATTACAGGTTTTCCTATCCTTTGTAAAAAAGTATACTAAGCATCATTTAACCTTTTTGTGACAATTAGAAATAAACATTGCAAGTCTTGTATTAGTATATGGACTGTATTTGTATTTGACTGACAGTGGGTTTTTTCCTTAATTTCCAGTTTTGGACTATGTTCTTGATAAGCAAGGTTGATAGATAATTGGATTATTTTATTTATTTATTTATTTTGAGTTGGAGTCTCACTCTGTCACCCAGACTGGGGTGCAGTGGCTACTATTTCTATGGCAAAGGAATTCTTAGTTTCCTTCCTTCCTTCCCTCCTTCCTTCCCTCCTTCCTTCCCTCCTTCCCTCCCTCCTTCCCTCCTTCCCTCCCTCCTTCCCTCCCTCCTTCCCTCCCTCCTTCCCTCCTTCCTTCCTTCCTTCCTTCCTTCCTTCCTTCCTTCCTTCCTTCCTTCCTGTCTCATTCCTTTGCCCAGACTGGAGTGCACTGGCATGCTTACAACCACCCCAGCATCAACCTGCTGTGCTCTGGTGATCCTTCCGCCTCAGCCTTCCAAGTAGCTGGAATTAAAGACACACTTCCATGCCTGGCTAATTTTTATTTATTTATTGTAGAGATAAGGTCTCACCAAGTTGCTCAGGCTGGTCTTGAACCCCTGAACTCAGGCAATCCTCTCACTTCTGCCTCCCAAAGGGCTGGGATTATAGGCTTAAGCCACTGTGCCCAGCCTTTTAGTTTCAAATAATTGAAAAAAAATTCCTTGTATAAGTTGAGGACTGCTTGCATCTTTATTTTTATAATCTCTGTGGCATGTTTTGTAACTAATAAAGCTATATATCATGAGACATGCTTTCATTTCACTTACATTTTATAACATTGGCAAGACTTAAGAAATATCGAAGTTCTGAGTGGAAAGATGCCTACAAAAATACTCCTTAGCTAATAAGGGTAGTGTTTTCTTTTGTTATGACCTGTATGTTAAATCACTGCTTGAATTCAGTTAAAATGGGTGAAGTGACATTAAATGTCATTTCTTCTTAGTATGGGACAAGTTGTATTTTTTCCTATATTAGAAATGCTCAAATGTGTCCGTAATGTAATTTTCTTTCTACTGTTTCAGGCCGGAGCCTCAACAGAAAGCTCCTTTAGTTCCTCCTCCTCCTCCACCACCACCACCACCGCCACCTTTGCCAGACCCCACACCCCCAGAGCCAGAAGAGGAAATCCTGGGATCAGATGATGAGGAGCAAGAGGACCCTGCGGACTACTGCAAAGGTGAGTGCTGACCATAGCAGTGCTGGCCTGCCTTCCCCACTGGCCCCCAGCAAGTTGTTGGGGGAACGGACAAGGGGAGGTAGTGACCCAAACTGCTTGGTCTTTATTAAATTATCCTCCTTGTGTCAATATCATTTTAGATTCTTAGATTATTGAATATGGAATAATACCAGAAAATGTAAGCAATATGAGAGAAAATTATGTGAGCTACAAAATATATACACATGTAAGTACATACTTTAGGGACTTTCAAAAGGATTTAAATCTGATAGGATTAAAGACAGCATACAGCAGCTCTCAATTAAAGATAAAGGACATAATCAGCCATGTATGAAGACCATAGGGAGTAGAAGGTACCAGGCTCCTGAGAGGAGCTAATTATAACTGTTGTGCACTGTATTTGACTTCCAGTTTTCTGACTACTAAGGCTAAAGAGAGCCATCCCTTTCTCTGTATAGCATTGGATTACATAGCATTCATTGTCTGTGGAAAGAAAGCCTGCACATTTGTTTATAGAGAAAGACCCTTTCCTGGCATTGTACTTAACGAAAAAGACATTATGTGGGTTCTGCCATTGTGTGACACAGTGGATTATATTTTCAGTTATGATTTCACAGAAGACATAGAAACTCTTCAAATAGAGTGTTCATGTATTGTGGCTTTGTGGAGACCAAGAGCATATAGTTAAACTCCTAAAGGGCAGGGATGGTGTGTGGTGAATATTGACAAGACTATGATGTAGACACCATGCTTTGTGTAGACTGGACTCTGAGAATCTAGGCAAAAGAGAAGTTACTGTGTTCATTCGGCTGCCTCTTTGTTACTTAACTTGTGCATTTGGATTTTAATTTCCTAAAATTCGGAGCTTTTGTGCAGTTGGTAAAATATGTTTATTTGCTACAGACTTTCAAAAGTGTAAATCAGATTCCATATAGCATTAGAATAGGTGACTGAAGATGTATGCATGTTCAGGCTGGAGAGCATTAGTGAATTTGGGGTCTGTAGTATCTTAATTAAGTCATCATTATCTAGTGTATATGAGTCATTTGTGTTGGTTAAGGACCAGTATACTTTTAGTTATCTGCTAAGAAGAAGAGAAGACTTTTCTGCTGTGAAAGTGTACGAACTGATTTTCTAGCCTAGTCTGGTTCTTCCATAGGTGCAGTGCTTACATATAGAGTCAGTGCTTTCCTTATCAAAGAGAATGTGGATTTTTTTTTAGCATTTGTCTAAGTAGTGATTATGACCCAGTGGTTTACACAGTCTAATAAAAGAAGAAAATACAGAATTTGGAAAGGGAAAAAAGAAGGTATTTTTCATTCTCCCTTTTAATCTGCCTTTCTTAACTACTGTCTTTGATTTTGCTGCCAAGGCCCTAAGTGTTAGGTTGTTCTGTAGGAACCAGTGTTCAGGAGCTGCTTCCTTCAGCTAATAGGCTCCCCTGTGCTAAAGTGAAGACCATCTATCTGTCTTATTCTCATCTTGTTAGTATGTGGGTCAGGAGATGTGCCCAATACACTCATGCCCCGTGTCCTTATTACCTCTTGGAAACCAGCACAGTGAACATCCCAACCCATAGTCTGGGTCGATTCTAGGTAACACTCACTAAACTCTAAACTGTATAGCATATTACAATCAGCCTCAGTAAGGCATATTAGAGATGGGAAGGTTCTCTCCTTACACACACACACACACACACACACACACACACACACACACCCCCAAGATTGTAAGTAACTTGTGCCTTTAGTTATTATCACATGTGACAGATGCCCTATTCTGTGAACTTTGTAACTTAGACTGTAAAGGTTTTTGTAAGGTAACTGACGGAAATACATTCAGAGAATCCAGGGAATTGATTGGGAATGTCTGGAATAAGAGCTGCAGCCTTCTCATATTTTGTTCATGAATAGAAGAGATAACTATTCCCCCAGAACTGGTTGGTTTTATCATCCCTGAATACTTTAATATATTTTGCATACAATCAAGTACATTCTTCTAAAAATCAAAATAACCATCAAAGTCAGGAAGTAATCAGCGATATATTACTATCAGTCAGTCCTCAGACTCAGTCAGGTTTTACTGGTTGCCCAATGTTGTCCTTTATGTGAAATGAATACATGGCAGAATCAAACTTTACATTTTGTTGTATTGATTCTGTAATGTCCTCTAATTTGGAACAGTTCCTCAATATTTTTTGACTTTCATGACATTTTTGAAGATTGAAGGCCAGTTATTTTGTATAATGTTTCTTAATTTGTAATACCACAGAAATGATGCCATGTTCTTCTCATTGCATCCCAGCAGGTGTTACATTTTTATTTATTCCAATAGAGTTACTGTCATCACTTGACTAAGATGATGTCTTCCAGGTATCTTTACTGTACAGTTACTCTTTCCCCAGTAATGGATAACTGTTTTGTTGAGAAGTACTTTACATAAAGGTCTCATTCAACACATTTATTTTGTCCCCTTTCCACCTGGCTGTCTCCCTTTCTAGTTCATATGGACTCACTCATTCATGAATTTCTATTTTATTCCATGGCGATAATCAGTTTACTCCCTTATAATCCCTTAGATTATCCCCAATTTGTTATTAGGAGCCCCTTCATAGTGGTTTTGTGTCCTTTTGAAATGTCCTAATCGTTCTTTGAAGACTTCATTGCTTTCAAGTACGGTAACATATTCCAGGTTCATTTTGTATTTCAGCCCTGGAGTCCACTCTTTCTACAAGGATCCCTGGTTTCTTCCAGTGAACAGTAGTATTTAGAAAGCAAGATCTGGGTATTAGGTATGCTTGTTACTTTTGGGGTGCTTCCCAAAAAGAGCTAGGGGCACATACACAAAAGTACATGCTTCTTTTATGTTTATATTTATTTCTAAATTTATCTGTGTCTATATTGGAATCCATTATTTGATCCGATATCTCTAACACCAGAAGGTTCAGCCCAGTTTTCTCCCTTTCCATATTTGTGGTTTCTTTCTCTGATAGTAAGAGCCTATGCTCTCCAATCCTTATCGAATTGACTTATATTGATGGTTTCCCTATATGTTGACTCACCAGTTACCATCCCCACCATGCCTCTCTTTCCTCCTGATCTGGCTTATGCTCTGACATCCTTTGTCATTTGGCCTTCCTGATGGATTTGAGCTGAATTGTCCAGGATGGGGAAGGGAAGGGATCACTTTCCCAGACATGGGGTACGTTTGCCTGAGGTGTCTGAGGTGTCTTGTCTGTCTTTTGTCACTTGAATTGTTCTTGTTTTCATTTACTTAATTCCTGGAGAGGCTCTGCCATCCTGGCTGCTTCTCAGTTTTCTTGAAATGCAATAAAACATCCTTAGCAACAAAATATACTCCATATTTTTCTCTTCACAAAAGAACTATTTGTTCATCATAGGAAATACAGATACTTTGGGTGCGAAGGGCAGAAATCACCTGGAATCCTATCACTCAGCAAGAGCTGCAGCAGGAATCCTGTCTCTCAGCAAGAGCTTCCTTAGTCATTCATGACCAACCAAATTGCATCTTTGCTTTTTTACTTTATCTCTTTGTTTTTACAAGTTATCCTTTGTTTAAAACTTGTGAAACCCTCAGCCATATATATATATATATATATATACACATTTTTTTTTTTTTGAGTTGGAGTCTCACTCTGTCGCCCAGACTGGAGTGCAGTGGCCGCTCCCGGCCACCGCAGCCTCGACCTGCTGGGCTCCCAGCGATCCTTTCGCCTCAGCCTTGCAAGTAGCTGGAACTATAGGCGCGCGCTACCACGCCTGGCTAATTTTTTTACTTATTTATTATAGAGATGAGGTCTTGCCAAGCTGCCCAGGCAGGTCTCGAACCCGTGGGCTCAGGCAGTTCACTCACCTCAGCCTCCTAAAGCGTGGGATTACAGGCTGAGCCACCGAGCCCATCTCCCTCAGCCATTTTAACAACAAGTCTCCTGTTTAAAGTTGTAATATTGCAGACGCATTGTTCATTGCTCTTGTCTACTTGGTGTTCTCTTTGGAGTGGGACTCTTCTTTCCCTTTCTTCATAGCCAGCTTGTTCCTACCTATCTTAATCTTGACTCTCCAGAAGGGTTATGGACTGGTGTCTGAGCCTGCATTCAAAACTGGCTCCTAGCTCTGTATTCTTGGACAAGTTCCTTTTCCTCTAGGCTTTGGTTTTTCATATATCATATCCTCTGTCATATATCAATCATATCATATCATATATCCTATATCACATCACATCCCACCACATCATATCATATAATATCATATCATATATCAATCACAGCATTTTACCACCTAAGATTTTATGAGGATTAAAGTGAGGCATATATGTGAAGTATGGCATGTACTTGATAAATAAAAGATTCTTAAGACATATCAGTTCTGTGTTTGTCTGCTGTCTCTGTTCTGTTAATCTCTCTGTGTGTTCCTGTTCCCTTCTGTGTTTTCATGCTAGCACCCATCAATGCTGGTCCCTGTAGCTCTGTGACCACCTCTCGTGTGGGGGGTGTTTCCTTAGCCTTTGGAGAGAAAGAGCTGTCAACACCGTCTGTCCTTTTCACATGTCACTGCTGCTCAGTTGTCTGGGCAGGAGTTGTGGCAGCAAACTGTGCAATTTATTCAGATTCTCCATCCACGCCCAGGAAATAACTAGGGTCAGGCACAGGGTCATCCTATACACAGATACTTCCGGGAGACTTTGTATAACACATGTTCACTTTGTGAGTCTGAGCATAAAGCCTCTGTGTCATGGCCAGACCTCCTCCTGTGGGGAAATTTTAGTTTTGTGGGGCTTTTAAGAGTTGCTAGGGATGTCTGGTAAACATTTCTAGGCTGTACTATAAACTCCTGAATTGGAATCTCTGGGAGTGGGGCTAAGGACCCCAAGTATTTCACCAGATAGGTGATTTTTCTGCCCATGAGGGCTCACATCTGCTGCATTCTAAGGTTGGCATGTGACATTCTTCTAAAACTCCAAAGCTACAACCAAGTGAAGTG